TTTTTAAATGAGATAAAATTCTTTTTTTTATTTAAAAGACTCGAACCAAAATTTATATTTATGAAGAATAAATTCTTCAGTATTTTATCCAATCATGATAATGATCTTTGATCTCATACAATTACTCGTAAATGTATGATTGGTCCGTGTCAGACACGTGCTGTTAGTGAGCGTTGACTATGGAATATCACACACTGTCATCATTGTCAGGAGTTTTTGAGTTTAGTGTGGAATCAATTATAATTATAGTAGTTTAATCTCAGTTTAACTGGAAATTAACCATGGTTTAATCAACTTCAACCCAAAAGTTGCCGTCGCTCTTTGGTTTCACTGTTTCTTATTCCACTCGCCACCATACTCATCACCCAGAAAACTAAAGAGAACCAATGTGCTTTTAATTCCTACAAAGAGAAAGGTCCATTATTTGAGCTGCTTCATGCCTTAGTCACAAAGAGAAAGCAGCGGCAGCAGCAGGAGGAGAATCTTTTGTTCTTTCTAAAGGTAACTTTTTTTCTCCTCTTCTTAGCTGCAATAATGGGTTTTTATCTCTTACCCTTTGTACTTAGCTTCCCACTTGATTCTTTTTTATCATTGCGTTTTTCTTTTCATTCATGAAGATTGTTGTACACTTCTATGTTTTCCAAGTACCTGTATGTATGTGTTGATTGCTTATCTGGGTTTGAGTTTGTTTAGAATGTAGTGGTGAACTTGGTAGATCAAAAGCTTGAGTGATTTTAACTTTTGGGTTTATGAAAGAGCTTTGGTTTTATTGGTTCTTATTGGGTTTCAGATCAAACCAGTGTCGGTTGCCACTAGTGAGATTCCTCTTTTTCTTTGGAAGTGCCCAAACGTGTTTGGTCCATTCATGTTTGAGGAATCATATCTCAATTCTGGCATTCATAAATTTATGTTTTCAATGGAATCTTAGGCTTAATATTTGTTGAATATTTCACCGCAGTTCACTTGTTGGGTCAAAGGATAAACGGGTCGAATTCGTATTTTTATTCACCATTATTCGTTCTGATTGTGTTTGTTACTGTGTTTTTTCTTTGAAGGCTTGTTCAAACTAGTTGAACAAAGGTCCATCGAACCAGTGTTCCTTTTTGTTTGTTTGTTCCTTCGTTTTCCGCCTTGTCATGGTTTCGAGGTCATATTCAAATCTCTTGGACCTTTCTTCATGTGATTCCCCGAGTTTCAGTGGAGAAAGAAAAAGGTTTCCTCGAGTGGCTACTGTCCCTGGACTCTTGTCTGAGGTAGATGATGAGAGTTGCCACAGTGTTGGCTCTGATGCTCCTTCTGTTTCTCAAGAACGGATGATTATTGTGGGAAACCAGCTTCCACTTCGAGCACATCGAAAAGAAGATGACGGTGAGTGGTGCTTTAGCTGGGATGAAGATTCTCTTCTTTTGCAACTCAAAGATGGGCTCGGAGATGATGTAGAAGTAATCTATGTAGGTTGTCTTAAAGAGGAGATTGCTCCTAACAAACAAGATGACGTGGCCCAAACGTTGCTTGAAACTTTCAAATGTGTCCCTGCATTCATCCCTCCTCAGCTTTTTACCAAGTACTACCATGGATTCTGTAAACAACATCTGTGGCCTTTATTTCACTACATGCTCCCTCTATCACCGGATCTCGGGGGTCGGTTTGATCGCTCCCTTTGGCAAGCTTATCTTTCGGTGAACAAGATTTTTGCCGACAAAGTCATGGAAGTGATAAGTCCTGATGATGATTATGTGTGGGTTCATGACTATCATTTGATGGTTCTACCGACATTTTTGAGGAAGAGGTTTAATAGGGTGAAGCTCGGATTCTTCCTCCATAGCCCTTTCCCATCGTCTGAAATATATAGGACACTTCCCATAAGAGTTGAAATTCTAAGAGCACTACTCAATTCCGACCTCATCGGATTTCATACTTTCGATTACGCCAGACACTTCCTCTCATGTTGTGGCAGAATGCTCGGTCTTTCTTATCAATCTAAGCGTGGCTACATAGGGCTTGAATATTATGGTCGTACAGTGAGCATTAAAATCCTTCCAGTGGGCATTCATATTGGACAGATCCAATCTGTGCTTAATCTTCCAGAGACTGAAGCTAAAGTGGTCGAGTTGCGTGATAAATTCAGTGGTCGAACTGTTATGCTTGGGGTTGATGACATGGACATTTTCAAGGGAATCAGTCTGAAGCTTTTGGCCATGGAGCAATTGCTCGTGCAACATCCCAAGAACATAGGTCAAGTTGTATTGGTTCAAGTTGCAAATCCTGCGAGAGGTCGAGGAAGAGATGTAGAAGAGATCCAGTCTGAAACTTACGCCACGGTGAGGAGGATTAACAATAGGTTTGGAAGACCGGGGTATGATCCGGTTGTTTTGATTGATAACCCTCTTCAGTTTTACGAGCGAATTGCTTATTATGTTATTGCCGAGTGTTGTCTGGTTACAGCAGTGAGGGATGGGATGAATCTTATCCCATACGAGTACATTATATGCCGACAAGGAAACAAAAATCTAGATGAGACACTGGGGCTCCATCCATCGGCACAAAAAAAGAGCATGCTGGTTGTTTCTGAATTCATTGGATGCTCGCCATCTCTTAGCGGAGCAATTCGAGTAAATCCGTGGAATATCGATGCTGTGGCTGAAGCTATGGATTCTGCACTAATCGTCTCCGAGGCGGAAAAGCAACTGCGGCATGAGAAGCACTATAGATATGTGAGTACACATGATGTGGCATACTGGGCACGCAGCTTTTTGCAGGATCTCGAGAGGTCTTGTGGGGATCATTTGAGGAGGAGGTGCTGGGGGTTTGGTTTTGGTTTAGGATTCCGAGTAATAGCTTTGGATCCAAATTTTAGGAAGCTTTCCGTCGAGCATATAGTTTCGGCTTACAAGAGAACCAAGAACCGCGCAATTCTTTTGGATTACGACGGCACCTTGATGCCAACCGGTTCGTTAAATACTACTCTCAATATAGAGGCTGTTGGAATCTTGAACAATCTGTGTAGAGACCCCAAGAATGCTGTTTTCCTTGTTAGTGGAAAAGATAAAAAGACTATAAGTGAATGGTTTTCCTGTTGTGAAAAGCTCGGACTTGCGGCGGAGCACGGTTATTATATCAGGTCTGCTTCTTTTCTTTTTCTCGATCTTGTTTGTTGTTAACTTACTCTATCCCTTATTATCATTGTTTTTCTCCAGGCCAAACCATGATTCGGATTGGGAAACATGCGTCTCGCTGCCGGACTTTGATTGGAAGCAGATTGCTGAGCCGGTGATGAAATTATACACTGAAACAACCGATGGTTCTACCATTGAGACTAAAGAGAGCGCTCTCGTGTGGAATTACCTTTATGCCGATCCTGATTTTGGATTTTGCCAGGCTAAGGAGCTTTTAGATCACCTCGAAAGCGTTCTCGCCAACGAGCCGGTTTCGGTTAAGAGTGGCCAGCATGTCGTAGAAGTTAAACCGCAGGTTAGTAGCACCACTTTACATTATATGTATTACGTTATTGCATGAGTTTTTGTAACCCATAATACCTTTGTGCAACTAATTTTACAGGGTGTGAACAAGGGTCTTGTTGCCGAACATATTCTCACGACAATGCGACAGAAAGGAAAACTCCCCGATTTTGTTCTTTGTATTGGGGATGACCGGTCAGACGAGGACATGTTCGAGGTGATCATGCGTGCGAAGACCGGTCCCTGTCTCTCCCCGGTCGCCGAGGTGTTTGCTTGCACTGTGGGGCAGAAACCAAGCAAGGCGAAATACTACGTGGAAGACCGAAGCGAGATTTTGAGAATGTTGCAAGCTCTAGCCAATGCTTCGGAACAGGCCGCAAAAACTACTCCCACCCTGGCTTCTCGCGGAGTGATTATCAACAAAGAGTGAGCAGACTCAATCTTTTATCATCATCCTACATGGTTTTCATATCATTAAGTGTACATTGAATTCCTCAATTAGTAGAGTTTTCTGGGGAAAAAACATGGCAAGTATTGGGCTTCTGGTCATTGCTTACATGTTGTTTGAATTTGTTTTTTTAGTTAATTTATTATTGAATTAAGGCGTCATCCTATCGTCATCGTCGATAAGCTGTTGACTTCTGTTCTGAAAAATACCAAAGTCTACTTCTACATTAAAAACTCATACACCAGCTAAAACAAAGATAACAGGGGAGTATATATTATTAAAAGTAAAACTATTTAATTTTAAAAATTTTAAATAATATATCATCATATAATTTATTAATATAAAAATATATAATATTAACGTATGAAATATGAATTCGTCGGTAAATTCATAAAATCTTAATATATTTTAATGTAAAAACATATTACATGTACAACATTTGATAGCTTAAAGTTTATATTAAAGTTAGCATTAATGCAATATTACACAAAACATTATCTATTCTCGTTGATCTAAAATACTTTCCCTCCACTTTCTACAACTCTCATACTCCTATTTCCTCCAAATTTCCTTCATATTTTCCTTCTTCCAAAAGTTTTCCATTCCATTTGTTATGTAATACGGTCTAATTATGAATTTCATCCTTTTATGTTATAAAAGAAATTAGTATTTTTAGTTTATCAAAATCTGATTCCCACAGTTTACGGAATCTAAGAAATCAGTCCAATTGAGCTAATGCCGTTAAATTTCACATGGTGTCATGAGGTAACTTTCAACCCTACATGATCTTTAAATTATATTTTTGCTCTCCAAAACGTTTTATAAGATTGGTTACAAAATAGAGAGATGGAGTCTCAAACATTTTAGAACAATAGTATCCCTAGAATACAACATGTGAATATGAAAGATTTTGACCGACCATATAATCAGAAAGATCCCTCAACAAAAATCAATAAATACCAACCATTGGACTAACTTCTAACTATTAAAGTAGAGAGACTAACTTTTTAATATTTGTAGAAAACAGGGGTGCAATTCATAATTAGACCCGGGCAGTGTCTTGTTAATAAGAATCTACCATGAAATATGAAAGATAGTAATAAAGAGAGAGCATTAAAAGGCTGAAACCATAGGAGGAGAAAATCCAAATTTGTCACCCAATTCGTCTTCTTCATTATCGTCTTCCTCAGCTTCCCACATGAAGTGTGCGTAAGATCCCAGAACCATGCTGCAAATTAAAAAAATACTAAGTTTGGGTGTGTTTGCAAATAAAAAGATGTTGAAGTGTAAAATTGTAAATAGATTTTTTTACCAGTCATCGGGAGAAGCAGTGATGGCTCGGTCGAAGTAAGAGCTAGCTCGGCTCTTGTCTCTGAGTCTCTCCCATATTAACTTTGCATACAAAGACAATACCTCTCCGTCTCCAGGACTCACTAAGATCGCTCTCCCATAGTACTCTTCAGCTCTCTCCGTATCTTTTTCAACCTTCAAAATCAAACCAAAACAACGAGATACAAGTGATTAGTTCAAAAAAAAAAAAAAAAGAAGAACTTTGGCATAATTTGCATTAATTACCTATATTTTTTAACGATTGTAATTTAACCCCTAGATTTTGACCAAATATTTAGTTTTTTTTAATTTAATACTTGATATTCAATCGACAATAATATTTTACCTCGTGTAAGAATCTGCCGTAGTTTCTCAAGAGAAGTGAATCAGCCGGATTCAATTTCAACATTTCTTTATAATAATCACCTATCTCTATCGTATGGCCGACCGGATCATCCCCGTGGTTGCCGCCAGATTTCCCGCCATTCCCTACTCCGTCACCCGAATAACCAATCTCCTCCTTCGATATCCCGCGTTCCGGCCCAAACGGCGCGAAACTCACCCTATCACTTCCATTCCCAGTCACCAACGCTCGGGATTTCCAATCCACTTCACAGTCCGACAAGCACTCCTCCTCCGGTATACCCGCCGAAAAGCCCCGAGATCCGACAGGAATCTGGGACGCCGATCTCACGATATCGGAATCAGACAACGCTCGCCTTATGTGAGGTTGAGTCTCCTTGGCCTTCCGTTTATCCATAGGGGAAAGCAAAGATATCAACGGAGAGCCAAAGGCCGTTCTCTCGGTGGAGTAAATTCCGGCAAACGAACTTTGACGTGAAAGAGAAACTCGTGGAGACGAAGAAGCGGCGAGAGCCGGTGACGTGACCGGAATCGAACCACCTCTCAGAATCACAGCTTTCATAGCTGAAAAGAGCGTTCGTCAAACTTTGATTAATTTATTTTTCAGTTTACAGTTAGGCCATTGAAATGGTAGCTTTACGTGAATATAAATAGTATAGGAGAGAGGATACTGGTCATGTCACATGTGGGTGAGAGTAGTCGGCTTTGAAAGACAAGGAGATGCTGACACGTGTAATCGAGGGCGTTAGCTTACGCATAACCGTGGCGAAGAGTAATGGCCGGAAAAACCCATTCTTGTCTTTTGATTTTGGGGTCACGAGAAATGACGGATTCGATGTCTAGGCGGTGCTGCCACGTGTTTCAAATATATCGATTAAATTTTAAGTTTAGAATAAAAAGTTTATCTAAATTATAATTTTTTCATTTACGTTTTAAAACAATTTTCTATCGATATAAATATTTAGGGGTAGTTTGGATTAGGGAATGTGAGATTCTCATGGGAATGAAATTTATATTTTTCCGTTTGTTAGTTCGGGAATCTCATTCCTGGTAATGTAAGATTACCAATAGTGGATATTTTGGGATATATTATCGGGAATGCCATTACCTCTATTTCTTTAGGTATTGTTTGATTACTGACGTTTTGGACTAAAATGCCCTTAATTTTTTTTTCAAAAATATCATTCTTCTGTCATTGAATAATAAAAATTCTACGAATGTTAAATTACAAATTTATCCTTAAATTATTTTAGATTTATAAAAAAAAATCTATAATTAAAATTTTATATGAAGTTTAGGTGTTAAAATAAAATTTTACCCTTTCATTAAACCTTTTTATATTTTCAATTTTGTAAAAAACTATATAAATTTTATGAATTTAAATTTGTTAAAGAAAATATATAAATATTTTTCAACTTGTTAAAAAAAATAAATATATAATAAGGACAATTTGGTTAAATATACATTACAATAATCTTTTTATTCATTTAACCAAACACAGTAATCTTACATTCTTGCTAAGCCAACCAAACACAAAATATAACATTCCCAGTAATCTTACATTCCCACTGGTAATCTTACATTCCCACTGGTAATCTTACATTCTCACTGATAATCTTACATTCTGTGAACCAAACGCATCCTTAATGTTATCAACATTATTATTTTAAGTATATGATCTATAATAATTATTAAAATAAATATTGTCAATCACTTAAAATATGATACATGGTATATTTATAAATATTTAAAACTTTATTTGAAAAACTTAAAATTACAATTATTTTTAAAAAATTTAAAAAAAAAATCTCAAAATCTTTTTTTATTATGTTAAAGGTAATTATGAAATAGTATATATTCTAAATACTCTTAACCATATGATATTGAATGTTCAATCACCTTTAAAGTTATTGATATTTAAATTCATGACTTCTAAAAACAATAATAATTTCTTTAACTATTAAATTAAAAAAATTAACCCCATTCATCGGTTGATCCTTAAATCACTACTGCCGATTATCCTTTAGGGTGCGTTTGGTTCACAGAATGTAAGATTATCAGTGGGAATGTAAGATTACCAGGGAATATAATTAATGGGAATGTTGTATTTTGTGTTTGGTTGGTTTAGCAGGAATGTTAGATTACCGTATTTGGTTAAAGGAATAAAAGATTATTGGAATGTATATTTGACCAAATTATCCTTATTATATATTTATTTTTTTAACAAGTTGAGAAATATTTATATATTTTCTTTAAAAAATTTAAATTCATAAAATTTATATAATTTTTTTTACAAAATTAAAAATATAAAAAGGTTTAATGAAAGGGTAAATTTTTATTTTAACCCCTGAACTTCATATAAAATTTTAATTATAGACTTTTGTTTGTAAATCTAAAATAGTTTAAGGATAAATTTGTAATTTAACCTTCGTAGAATTTTTATTATTCAATCACAGAATAATGATATTTTTGGAAAAAAATTTAAGGGCATTTTAGTCCAAAACGCCAGCAATCTAACAATACCTAAGGAAAAGAATGTAAAGACATTCACGGTAATATACCAAAAAAAATTCACTATTAATAATCTTACATTACCAGGAATGAGATTCTCAAACTAACCAAACGATGAAATGTGAATTTCATTTTCATGAGAATCTCACATTCCCCATCCAAACGCCCCTTTAATGTCATCTTAATCTCATAAATTTCTAAACAAAAATATATAAATTCCAAATATCCAACCACTAATCCTTAACCTTCCAGTCAGTAGCTTGTTTTCATAGCTCATAAATTGCAAGAAATAAAGGCTTCCTCTGTTGTGAGAAAAATTATTTTATCTTATAATGTATCAACCATATTATTATTTTTTTAGCTAGAACTTCTTTTTAGTATGAAGATATTGTGCATTCTTAGGATCAACTTAATTTGTCTGGAGACGTCAAACAATTGTAGAATTTTTTTATTTACATGAGGCGTCATACAATCGTATAGTCTTTATATTTAACTTGAAGATGCATAGAACATCTGACGTCTTTAGGTAGATACTGTTTATTTTACTTTAAAAAGAAAAAAATAATCTCAAAATTAGACTATATTAATAATTAAAAATTTTAAATTTTTTCAAAATTTAGTTTTGCGCTATAAACTGTAGTTGGCATTGAAATTTTAAATTTTTTTTATTAAATTTTCTATCAAGTAAATGTGTATTCTATTAAACATGCTTTTCAAAATTTATGATTGATATAATATCAAGAACGAACGTAGAGGGAAATGAATTTCTAAATTTTAAAAAAATAACAAATTTATAAAAGTTTAGGAAACATAAAAACGTAAACAAAATTTTTAATAAAAAATATATATGATAATTTTAAATTTTAAGAGGTTATTATTCTCACCCTACTTCATCGATCTATCATTGTATAGTAAACTTTTATCTTGAATATCATATAAAAATATTATTTCTAAGTGTTATTTTTAAATAATAAAAAATATTATTTACATAATTTAAACAATAATATAGGTTAATGAAAGACTGAAAAAAAAATAACTGCACTGCACTAAAACTAAACTACTAGGTTCAAGCGTACATTGTAGAATGCTAGTAAAGTATTTTAGATTATGTAATGATTATTTTTTTATTATTTATTAAAGTTTTTTTTATTGTTAAAGTTTTTTATTAAATTATTTTTCATTTATTTCTTTAATATGATAATAATTGTTCGTATTTATTTTCTTTGATCTGTTTGATTTTTCAGTATATTATTCGTGTTGGATTTGTACGACTTTTCACCGTTCGAAACGTTGATTGTAAATTCTGATATCCATAAAGAAGTCAAAAACAGTTCGGATTTATTTTCTTCGATCCGCCGCTGTCCACCGTACGATCGTTCTGATTTTTCAGTATGTTGTTCGTATTGACCTTGCGTAACTTTTCACCATTCGGAACATTGATCGGAGATGCCGATCGCCGACGAAAATCCGACAGAATGCAAGAAATGTTTTTTTTCTCTTTTTTCTCTTCAATTCTTCTCTCTCCCGTATGCTCCTCCTTCTTCGCTTTGATTTTTATGATGAATTTTAGTATAATGTAGTTGATGATTTAAAATAATAGGTAGTGGGTTTTTTACGGCGTATTTCCTGAAATATCACCCTAACCCTATATATTTCCCTGTCAGACACCGTTCAGACTATATTTCTCGATCTAACACCCTTTGCAGGAAGACGCGCCTCCTGCGCCATGCTTTACGCCACGTGGTCGAAAGCGCGCCAAATGTGTAAAAAAACCCGGGTGCTAATTTTATAAATACTTTTAAACGGGTGCCAAATGTGTCATTAATTTCTATTATGGTGACATTTGTGTAAAAACGTCAGCATTTTGAATTGTGCAGGCACCCCACACCGCACGACTCCAGGTTGTGAACTGGATGGGGTCTTGTCTCAAGTTAATGAAGTGGACAGTGTGTATAATAGTTGAATTTATTAGTATTTTAGTGTCACAAATTTATTTTTTATAATAATAAATTTTTTATAATTTTAAAAATTATAAATTTCATATATTTTGAAAAAATTATTGAATAATAATTTATTTGATCCTCCAATTGTAATTAAAAAGTTTATTTTAATATTTTTATATTTTTAAACAATTAATTTTAAAAGGTAATAATTTTTTAAAAAATGTATGAAATTTATTATTTTTTAAATTATAAAATATTTATCATCATCATCATCATTTTGTAAAAGAAATACTAGTTATAAAACTTTTATAAAATTATTCATATTTTAAAATACTTACCCTCAAAGTTTTTATATACTAGGTTATATGTATTGTGTAATTTTAATACAAAAATTTAAATAATTTTATTAAAAATGAATAAACATTATTAAATGTTGTTAAAAATTAAAAATTAATGAATAATAATTCATTTGATCCATCAATTGTAATTAAAAGTTTATTTTAATATTTTTTATATTTTTAAACAATTAATTTTAAAAGGTAATATTTTTTCAAAAATATATGAAATTTATAATTTTTAAAATTATAAAATATTTATTATCATCATCATTTTGTAAAAGAAATACTAGTTATAAAACTTTTATAAAATTATTCATATTTTAAAATACTTATCCTCAAAGTTTTTATATACTAGATTATATGTATTGTGTAATTTTAATGCAAAAATTTAAATAATTTTATTAAAAATGAATAAACATTATTAACTATTGTTAAAAAGTAAAAATTAATGAATAATAATTCATTTAATTCCTCAATTGTAATTAAAAGTTTATTTTAATATTTTTTTTATATTTTTAAACAATTAATTTTAAAAGGTAATAATTTTTTCAAAAATATATGAAATTTATAATTTTTAAATTTTTAAAATATTTATTATCATCATCATTATTTTATAAAAGAAATACTAGTTATAAAACTTTTATAAAATTATTCATATTTTAAAATACTTACCCTCAAAGTTTTCCTATTCTAGATTATATGTATTTGTTGAGTTAATCGATTGACGGAATCGGCCAAGAGGGTGGTGAATTGACAATTAAAATTTTGTGGAAGCTTTTGCAGAAAATTGAAAGTAATTGCACAGCGATTTAGAGTGGTTCGACTTTATC